CCGCCGGAGCCCCGCCGGAGCAGATCCCGGGCCCCGGCCGGCGCGCCGCCGTCACCGGGTTTCTTTGTTCCCATTCTCGGCGAGCTCTCGCGCCCTGTGTGCTGTGGTTCCCTTTTCTCCGGGCCGGCGGGGGGCCGACCCTTCGGCACAGGAGCTCCCGCCAGAGCCGCGGCACTCTCGGAATGGGGCTCCTGCTCCACCATCTCTTACCAGACAAGGTCAACGGCACGGAGAGCCAGACAGATCTCGATAGGACCTGCAGGCAACGAACGCTGCCGACGGCCTGGCCGTGTTTTTATAAAGCTCACAGGGACTCTCTGCCTGCTGTCTTGGTACGAGATGAGGTGAGTTTTGAAAAACTCGCACCAAAAGCTTTTGCTTAGAGACAGGGCAGCAACACCCACTTTTATTGCCTGGGAATCAAATTAGTGTCAGAGACCTGAGAGTGAGGGTTTGCTTCATAGGTAAGTGAGAATTTATAGAAGGAAACAACACTATGAAAAATAACAACACACTGCTCCCCAAACTTATTTTTATTCATTTCTCACAGGGTGATTTCTGGACAAAAAACTACACCAATTAAAACTCAAAGAAGAAAAAATAAGAGCCTTGAAGAGTTCATGACGTACTCGGGGAAATCCCTCAAAACAGAGGCATTAATGACCACTGACTGTCATTACCACTGAGGAGACTTGTTGCCAGAAACTTGCCGAGGAAGAATGCATTCCTTGAACTGTCCCAATTCAGCGACCATGTGCCTCTGCCTGAGCTTCCGTTCACCCCAGGTCTGCAACTCAACATGCCCATTGTTTCTGGTCGCACAAGGGCTCATTCTCTTCCCAGGGACAAATGGCTTCATTACCAGAGGGCTTTGCTCTAACGGCTCGAACCTCCTTGAGAGGGGCCTGAACCCTGAAACAGGGGTACCGTGCTCCTCGGCCGCCCCATTTGCTGCCCCTTCTCCAAGGTCAGGAAGAATCACACAGTTCACATCTGACATCTGGGCACAAGGCTGTGTTGTGAATTAGACATTATTAAACTGAGGTCATGTCAACCTCACGAGAACCAGAAAGAGCCCCAGTGTGGTGGGGCAGGGAGTTAGTGACGAGGAAGGGCAGTGGGGAAATAAGGAAGCCCAGAGTCAAGGCGTCCACACCACACTAGTGGACATGCTAGTGAGAGATTACTATTTATCTCCTATAACACGGCACATTTACAAATCCTCATATCATTCTAGTTACACAAGATGCTCTTTTGGGAAATTACCTAACACAGTAGTAAGGACGTAGGCCCTTCATAATTGTCAGTGTGCGTGTGCGTGTGTTTGCTGAGTGCGGCTCCGCTGAGCATGTGAAGGGAGAAGCGGGTTCCACTCGAGGAGTTCTGGAGTCTGTCAAATTGCCTTTGGACAATTTTCAAGATGAATATAAAACTTCTGTGTGTCTGTGCTCCTACAGAGCCTCGGGGCTCTGCTACAACCTCTCCGCTGACCTGGATCTTAATGACCGTGTTGCGTGTCCACTGTCCTGGGCAGCAAGCTCGGCTCAGAGTCAGGCCTGCAGTCAGGTCGCCACTTACGAAGAGAAAGGGTGTGAAACTTCAGGGGAACGGAAGGTGGCACATTCAGGCTTAGCAAAACGGTCCGGGCCACATTTAGGGCAGGATTATTTAGGGAGCCAAGTGGTTAAGTTCACAAAATGCAGTTCTCTGTCTGTCCGTGCTAAAACAATCCCCCATCTACGGCACCAAATTCTCACATCCAGGCCAGGATGTCTGGAAGGAGGCTTTTATTCTCCTGGTTGGAAGAGGGAGCTAACATGCTTTGCTCTCTCCAGCCTAGTCTGCTAATAACTAAGTGGGATGGCCGTACCACACAAGGCTGACTGACCGGCTTTCCTGGGGATCCAAAAAAAGTCCTCAGATCGACAGGACAAGGGAAAATCTGGAAACGCATCAAGGGGCTTCACCAGGAGCCTGTGCTCTGTAGAGTGTCCCAGTTTGGCCACGTCCCATGTGCAAGGAAAGACCCCTGCTGGCACAACATCCATATCAAAGGGGAAACAGATCCTCATGACAGATGTTGTGAACTGTGGGGATCCCAGCACAGAGCTCAGCACGGCCTCCACGGACGTCCCCTGGACGCCCTGCTTCTCCACGACTCACTCAATAAGACCAGGCCCTCGCTGACCTTCCGTGTGCGTGTCTTCTCTCCACAGGCCACTACGTACATTTCCACTCCAGCACAGCTGACTTCACTGTCATATCCCTGATGGCTGTGCCTCATCTGGACAGTCCTCTGACTTTCAGAAAATGCTGCTGTGATTCTCACAAAGGTCCGCAGAGTAAAGCCTCTTAGCGAGTAATAAGAAACAACAACAACAACAACAAAAAGACACTCCTACAGAAGCCTACAGTAGTGATCTGCAGTCATACTAGAGTGAGAATGCAGAGCAAGGGGAAAGTGACAAATGGCAGGTCTCCACAAAGCCCTCATATTTAAAACAAGGGTGAAAGTAGTAGGCTGAGCTCAACTGGGTCTGTCACTGCCGTCACAGGGTCACAGGGAGCAGGGAAGAAGGTGCAGGTGGAGCACAACTACCCGGGGCCCGGTGGCCGGGAGATGACCGTAACAGAGACTGAGGAGCAGAGGAGGTGAGAGGACTTGACTCAGGTGCATCACAACTGCCCCAAGTGAGCCCCCATTACCAGAGCAACGAAGCCCGCGAATGAAGCCATGACGGAGTTTTGAAGAACACTAGCTTGCTTCTTCACTTCGGTTCTCTTTTTCTACTTTATTACGAAAACTGGCAAACATAGAAGTGGAAAAGAACAGACTATGGACACTCAGCTTCGACACCGGTAGACAGCCTCACGCTAACACTCGTTTTTTTCTGAACCACGTGAAAACAAGTCACAGATGTCTTGACACTTCAACCCTAAACACTGTAGCATACACCTCCTAAAAATAAAGACATTTTCCTACATAACCACAATAAAATTAACACACCCCCAAAAAACTGACAATACTTTCCTTCTATCCAAAGCCTGGTCCACACTCAAATTTCCCTATCCTGCCCCATTTTTTATAGTTGTTTTCTTAAAATCATGACTCAGTCAAGGCTCATGCACTTCACTTGGTTTTGTATCTTGTTTCTTTTAGTAAAAAACAATCCTTTCATCCCCTAACCCTGTTTGCATTTTTCCCTTGACACTGAGACTTTTTTTTGAAGATACCAGGCCAGTTGCCTTGTAGAATACCCAACAATCTTGATTTGTCCATTTCCTCATGATGTCACTTAAAGTGTCCTCTATTCCCTGCTTTATAGAAACGAGGTTAAATCTAAAGGCTAGTTCAGAATCAGCTTAAATATTTTTGGTGAGACTCCTTTGCAGGTAACACTGTTTATTCCTACCACATCACATTTGGGAGGAATAATACTGAGTACACCTCAGAATCAGAATAATTTTATACATATATAGACATACATGATTATGTATATGTGTACATGTATAAATATATACATATATATGGGGGGGGAGAGACAGAACGACAAGACAGACAACATGCCCGGGGTCCTCTGTGGCCCTGAAGAATCAGAATTTTGGTGAGGGAGATGCAGAAGGCTGGCTGGGCAGGGCTCCGTATGTTTGGAAGAGCTCTTTGGGTGAGTGTTGACAGCACTGTTGAGAAGCCCTGTCCTAAGAGATGCCACCCTGGAAGCTTAAAAAGTCCTTTACCAAAGGGATTTTACTTCTAAGAAATGGTTGCTGTATTTCTCTGAAATGGAATCACACTTTATATACGACGTATGAAAGCAGGGAAAGCTCTGCAGGCTTGGGGAGTAAGATACAACCTTGGAGAGAGGCAGCCCTTTCCAGGAGGACTGACTTGAACCAACAGAGCCCGGGCTGTAGTGATGAGGAAAGCTCTTGCGTGACGAGAAGGAGGGGCCATCTGGCCGCTAACTTCAGAGCTGCGCGTCTCAGAAACGACAGCCCTGGGCTCCTGCCGCCTCCCTGTGACCCTGCCCTCGGCCGGCCAGCCTGCCCTCAGCCAGGCTGCGGGCGGCATCAGGTGCCAACACCACGCTGGGCAAAGGGCACTACACTGTGCGAGCTGGCATGGTGGCGTTTTAAGAGCTCTGTAAACAGACTCGGGAGCAAATCTCAGCTCTGCCGCTGCACCGCTGTGTGTCCTTGGACAAGCTATTCACACTGCACCTCGGCCCGCCTCAGTCTCCTCCTCTGCCAAAAAAGGGTAGCAACATCTTCATCCCGAGGCTGCCGGGAGGAATGAAGGAGACAGCATACGAGGAATGATCAGCAGAGCTTCCTGGTCACTGTGCTCAACATACCTGAGCTATTATCAATCATTATCAGAGGATTAAATAATTTAATGCATTAATTAATGATTATCATTTTAATCATGGGATCGTATGACTAAATAATAAATTTACTATAGTGACCCATGTGACCCGAGGGACCAATACACTTCCAAGCAGATTGCATTTTGCTCCCACGTCACTGGTGGTTTGTTTGGCAGTATGGTCTCCATCCCAGTGTCTTCTGGAAGGATAAGAGGATAAGGTGAGTAGAATTTAGGTGCTTTTTATTACCTTCCAAGAGTTGGAAAGACCCTCCAGAAGGCTGCTTCTTGAAGTGTGGTCCCTGGACCACCCCCCATCTCCTAGAGGGAGATGTAGGCCATCTGTTTTAAAAAACATTCAGTTCCTGGTCCCCACACACTGCATCAAACTTTTTGGAGGTGATGCCAGAAAGTGTGTTTTTAACAAGCGCCCCGGAGATTCTCTGCACGGTGCCATCTAAGACCGGGTAGGGGGGAGGTCGCTGGCCCCGGCAGTGCCTTGGAGCTGGGGAGGGAGCCAAGGAGGGACTTGCCCAGTTCAGGAGGACAGAGCCAGACCACCTGTCTTCGGCACAGCTCCTGACGTCACAGAAGTCAATGGGCTAGTGAATCTGCAGGGACGCAAGCTGCTTCCCCATACACGTGCTCTCCAGTGGTCCTTGTAGAGCATGAAAGAGCTCAAGCGTTCAGGACCTTCTCTTCAGAGCACGCCGGCAGCTCTCAGAACTGATGGACCGGGCTGGTCCAAAAAGCTCAGCACCTTGCAATGATTCTCAAAAAAAAAAAAAAAAATCAGCTCCCAAAGGTTTTGTGAACTCTCAATTGCCCTGGCCACCCCCTCAAACGTGTGGACTGTGGAAATGAGGTCCTCTTGACAATATTTAAGAAGGGGCCCCAATGCACTAATCCTTATGCTGTCCTTGGAGTTCCAGTCTTGGCACGCTCACGTCCTCTTGCTTGCCGCCACGATGTCCCTCCTCGCTCCTTCCTCATCTCTGATCTGACTCTACCCGGAAAACTCCTGCCCTGGCTCTCAACCAGGATGATTTAGCCCCCTCCCCCTTGCAGGGGACATGCAGTGATGTGTGGAGCTATTCTGGGCTTGTCACAACTTGGGGCGGGAGGGGAGGGTGTGCTCCTGGCATCTAGTGGGCCAAGGATGCTGCTGACCGGCCTGCAGGGCACAGGGCAGCCCCACAAAGAGGCAATGTCAGCAGTGTTTACGGTGAGAACCCCTTTCCGGAGGCTTCCTGCATAGAGCAGGGCTGACATTTGCAGGTGCAACATGAAACAGATTGCTAAAGCCGTTGCTTTTTACGAAGGTCTAATGAGTAAGCCATGTTCTACAATCTGGATGGACAGTCATAGTATTTACTACATTAAGTACACATTTAGTCGTTTTTCTGAATTTCTGTTTACGGTCCACACTAGTCTGTGTGTCCCAAGATGGCAAGCTGACAGAATGCGGATCCCAACTTGCCGGAGTGAACACACTCAGGGACAGTGCCCTTGACCCTGCCTCTTCAGGGGCCCTGAGAGTCTGTTTGGATCACACACAGAAGTCAGCTATTGTTTTCAGTCATCTCTTCTGCAAATGGCAGAATGGGGCTCCCAGCTTATTAAGAGCAGGAGGTCATTCGCTGCTGTCTTTACCTCCCTGAGGGTCTTGCACTACCTCAGACAACTGCAAGTTGGGCCACATGGCCTCTATTTCTCTCAAATTCCCCTCCTCCCGAGCTGGGCTGTCCACTCAATATATGCTCAGGGGGCCTTGGCCATTCCAAATGCCAGGAAACCTCAAGGAACTTCCCAAGGAGACCGAGGGAATGCGCAGGCATTCTGGTTACTTCCCGACCCCAGCCTGGCTCCCTTGACCAGATGCTCTCCTCTCTGGCTGACCCTCTCAGCGGTGTCTGCTGCCTGATGGCCCCTCCAGGGCAGCAAGGGCCCACCCTCCGAAAGCAACTGAACGAGCCTTTTCTTTTCTAGGTTTGGAGCACCCAGTGAGCTCCTGCTCATTGTCAAGTGTGTCCTTTAATTCTCTGCTCCTCACAAGGCCTTCTTGATGCCCACTTTCACTCCTCTTGTATCTAATCCATCTGCTTGCTAAGCACCCATTTCTGAAAGTGTCATTTTTATATTTCCTCCCCGAGACATCAGCACCCAGAGGGAGCAGGTCTACTTGTCTGGTCCTATTTTCTACATGATCCCTTCTTTAAGATTTCTGAAGCCCACCTAACTTACTTCTTAACTTTTTCCTTGTACAAACCTCACCATCTAAAAATCTTTAGAAAGCAAGTCTTTCTTTACGGATCTTCTACTCTGTCAAACAGGAGGGACTGAAGAATCAGTCTCCAAGGCAGACGCTGATGTCTAATCTCGCGCACCTCCTGTCAGCCAGGGGCCATATGCCTATGCCCTCCACATACTGTGGGGTCCAAATGTTTTCGGTTTGTTTCAATGGAATTAGAGCTTGAACTTCAAGGGTTGCCTTTCAGTGTCACTGTTGTATATAATTTTAAACTAAAGGTGTTTTCAAGTTCATAATGAATTCTGTGATACCAGGCAAAATGTAAGTCTTAAAGTGAGCCTCATGAGTTTTCTCAGAATCAATAAGAAAGTAGAGTGTTTTAATGGAGAAAAGTAACAAAGGATGGAAAACAAATAACTTAGAACTTGTGCATAAAAATCAAGATATATAACTTCCTTCTTCATGAACACCCAGTGAACACCAGAGACTCCAAATGCCCTCAACTCTGAGAATAAATAACCCTTAGGGAACAGGCTTCTGGCTTGTCTAAGTGGACAGCTGGGCAGCCTCTCCCAGGGCGGGGAGCATGGACGTTCACTCTCAGAGCAACTGTAGGCTTTCTAGTCCCTTCCAGACACAGGCAGAAAGAATCACTTCTGTTCACGGGATATGATGCCATCCGCCAGGTTCCCTTCCAACAGCTTGAGAAAAGCCAAACATGATAAACGGAAAGGATTATGCCATCTGTTATTTCTGAGTCTCACACAAACCCAGAGAACCCAAGAATCAACTAGAACAAGAGCCCCATTCTGACTGGAAGCTTCTTCGGAAGCTTTTGTGGAAGACTGTATTCCTCTTTCAAATATACTCTGTCTCTCTTGGAGGAGGGTTCTCTTTTCCCTCCCCATCCCCATCAAGCCTGCCCAGAGCACTGGCCTCAGCCAAACCACTGAGAAGCGACACGCACCACTTCTAAGTTTATGAGCTGGTGCCTTATTCTCCCGCTCTCCTACCTCTCCCATGAGGTCGAAAACACCTCAGACAGAGGCCTCCCCATCCGCCTGGGTCCCTGACAGCACGAAGCAGGGGCCCCTGATCCTTGATACACAGGCAGTGTGGGCCCCAACCCAGTGTTGTTGCCAGTGTGGAGATGTGAGGGCCGTGCTCCTGCTGGAATGCGAGTAGCTGCCGGTCTGGACTCTCCCTGGTGGCAGGTTCGATCCCATTTCGCCACGTTCTACCACACACACATGGCAAAGAACTTCCGGCATTTAACGGTAATAAGTGAGAAACATTAAAGCTTGGCCACCGTCTCAGGAGCACTCCCTGAACAATTCAGTGAGGTAAGCTGCTCCAATATGGGGTTTGCTCTCACTGTATTTATGTTAGGGTTAATAAATGGAAGTACTAAGAAAGAAGAAAAATTCCCTTTTGAGTAAGTGGGGACTTTTCTAAAGTGACTCAGAGGACCAGCCTGAAGACACTTCCCACATCAGGCGCTTCTCCGAAGTCTCTTACGGAAGAGCTGCCTCAGCTTTCCCTTCTCTGCTGCTGCTTCTTCCACCGGGGGGTGGCTCCAGCCGGCTCCCGCCGCCCCGGCCAGGACCACGGCTAGGCCGCTCCCGTGGTGCGGGACAGCTCCGCGCCGAGCCCGACCGGGAGGCTGGGCCCGCGCCGCCTCCGCCTCCGCCTCCGCCTCCGGGGAGCCCTGCGGGAGCAGCTGGTCGCCGCATGGGCCCAAACCAGGGCGGCAACACGCGGCAGGGCGGGTCTCTCCGAGGAGCTGGCAACCACGGGGCTGGAGGGAGGGTATCCACGGACACGGGGGACAAGAGATCCTTGAGGTCAGAGGGCAGGACCGAGACCCTGAGGCTCCGGCTGCGGAACAAGAGGTCGCGGCGGCCCAGGATGCGGAGCCGCCAGAGGTGCGAGAACGAAAAGTCCGGAGGCACAAGGTGGAGGCAGAGAGTCGCAGGGGGACAAAGAGCCATGACCACACTTGACATTTTCTCATGTAATCTCTACCGTGAGAACCAGAATATTCCATGTAGGAATGCGGCCATTCCGGAGATGGCATGAGGGTGAGAACCGGTGGCTTTCGTGAGGAAGACTGCCAACAACTCCTGAGAATATCTGTCGTTTAAAAATGAAGTTTTTAAAATTTCGGTATTGCCTCTTTTTGAACTGAGTCCTTTTTTTTGAAACAGCAATATGGTATCATTTTATAAACTCAGTAATAAGTGCCAGACAAAAACGTTAATCTGGAAATAGTCTGTGGTAGTTAAAAAACAGCAAAAACAGTTCTTTCCTTCTATCCCCCCCCAACACACACACACACACAGGCACTGAAAATCTCACCCATTAGTGTTATTAACACAAGAAAACCAGAGTGGTTAATGTTCAACCTGAGCCTCCGTGCCAAGGTTCCACCAGCCGTTAAGGAGGTGATGGGTGTGAGTGGAAGTACCATAGAATCCTCCTCTTAGAGGCCAAGGGGACAGGGCAGGGGCATGACTCAGAGAAGGGGTACCCTCCTGCGAACCGAAACTCCACCCAGGAACTTCCCGAAGGGCACAGGGCAGGAGCCGCTCCCCGCCGCGGCAGACTTCACCCAGAACCGCCTTGAAACAAGCCCATCACAACGCCACCCGCCGCCATCTGGTCTGCTTGCAAAGCTCTCAGCAGAGTGATGTTCTTTCTAATTAGCCACTAAAAGATATTATCAGTGAACTGGGCCTAAAGATGCAAGACAACCCACATCCTTAAAAATCAAGAGGATAATTTAGGA